TGTTCAATTTTGAGTGGGTTTTGAGCCTCATTAAGTCTCTTGCGCGAGACCTCGTGCGCCAGATTCGGCGGGATGGAAGTGAATAACGAAATAACATCGAAAAAGACATGATTGTATCTGACTGAATCATTTGACCTCGAAGGTCTTCGAGGAAGCGCAAAGCTGATTGAACTGAGGTAGTCGAATTGCCTTGGGGGAATTTCAATTTTGTGTGCATCCACTTTGCCATACAAGGAATTCTTACCCTATTTTCCAGGGAAATTGTGGCTAGTGCTACGCTTAGGATTAATGGTGAGCTAGAGTTAAGTTCATTTTTAAGTTCATTTTTGGGTTTAAGTTGGGTTTAAGTTTAAGTTTAAGTGGGTTTAAGTTTAGGTTTAATTTTCGGGCTTCCGGTAGGGTGTGTTATAACAAGAATATTTATCCTCTCTGGGATCCTGCGTAAGGCCTCCTATATTACCTGTAAGTATTAGAGTTTCTATTCCTGTCTCATCTCAGTGTCTTAACCCTGTCGGAATTCACGCCGGAAATCCATTGGATGGAGCTGTTGACTGCCTTCCATCATTGAACGCCGGCATATGCACAACGCTTATATTCTTTCTGATTTCCATCTTGTCCGTACTACTTCAGGGTGTACACAATTGCATTGCTCGGCATCCTTATGGTGGCATTTATGCTATTCTTACCTACAGTAGATAATAGACTTGCTGAATTTTACATAGAACATGAGTGAGAAACAGATCAAGTTTGTCTTGCTTAGATAAACTGTTCACCATTGAAATCCACTGCATCGAAACTCACATCCAGTCGTCTTGAATATGCTCGACCATAGGAACACATTGCATGAGGGTAGGAAGTAGGAAGGGAGACACCACGCGGGCCTACTCCCCCATTAATAGAGTTAAGCACGTACCACTGTTACAGGGTGCAATGTATTATCTAGAGATGAAAGCCATCGTTATCGAATGTCGAACTGACGTGCTGGTACTTATTTCTCTGAAAGTCATCTTAAGATGAGGCGCTCTAAATAAACGACCGATAGAAACCGCGGACTGGGGAAAAGTATGAAACATCATGAGGTGATCCGTCTTTAAAAGCCCAAAAGGGTAATTCAATTCACGAATCTTTATTCATTCATAACGATATACACCCTGAAAAAAGTATGTTCCAGGCTGACATTCGACGGCCTGTTTCAAGCCAGTTAGGGCCAAGCTGATACAAATGCGAGAAAAGTCACGTTTTTGATGGGGAATATGAAATCTCGCCTCGGTGGTGGACTAAAAAACTTTAGGTTGGCGAGCATGCGTATAAATTCTGACTGAGGAACGCGGGGTAGTCAGTCTCATACACCTCTCTTTGCTTAAAAAATTCAGTGATCGAACAACTATCTTCCAATTATTATAATAGGCGCATACCTGCCTTTACGATAAATGCTAGAATGACTGATTAAACTCTAAGTACAGAACGGAGAGCTCGGAATACAGTTGGATACGGCCACCAACAGCGCAGGGTTACGCGACTTTGGAGTGAACGGCGAATGCCGTGTTAACGTTAAAAAACCCTAGAAAACGGCCAGAGGCCTGTGCTGGCTAAACCCGGCTTCATTAAAGAGTGAATTAATGACTTCTCGAGTTATCAATATCTTTTAAGATATTAGTGGTGGTTTAATAGCGACAAACAGGCTATATGTTTGGTCGTTCTCGAAAAAAACAAAATACTAACTTAAGAATTTCCATTGCTCTTGGCCTCACCCACCAGCGGAAATCTGCAAAGCCCTGTTAGCAGCGCGAAGTTTCGGTAAAATTAGATCAACCGGCTACCGGACAATTTACAATCAATATAAAAACTTCTTTTTTAATCTTTTTGACACACAGGGGCCGAAGATCCAATGATGCCATCACTTATAATAGTTGCTAGGCATGGTCAGCAGCACAACGACTTATTGTAAGGGTCACAATTTCGAACTTCTGATTAAAGGTTGCCCACGAAATCACCCATGTGCCTGTAGTGGGTGGGACGATCTCCACATAAACAATATTGAAAAGAAGAAATAGAAAGTATGATATTTCGTTCAAGAATCAGCTAATTTGTGATAAGAAGAACTCTGCTATTTACAGCAATAGATTCAGGCAGTTCAGCACATAGACAAGGCCCTGAGGGTCACAAGGGGTAGTGTATGTCTGTCAGAGGTGATGCCGAAATACATCTAAAAAATCATTCTTCAGAGTGAAAGTGCTAAGCTACCAAATCACTCATGAACCACTCAAATGCTGATGTCCCATTGACCACTGTCCTGATAAACCCTCGACATTTCTCATTACTGCCGGCCACCTGTGTCATGTGAAACAGTA